ATTTAGGGAGAAAAGGCCTGGAGGCTCAAGTGGTTAAAGAAGCACTTCACCATTCCCCTCTTCCTCCTCATGGACATTTTTTAGACCCCCCCCTTTTACTTTGCTGGCTTGGCCAAAATTAACATAGATGCCCTGACGAGCAATTCCAACGTTGTTCTGACTGACTAACTACTCCACTGCCACATGCTAGGTCCTGCATTGCCATCTTCTCTATGTCATCAGTAGCCAGCTGTCTCCTCCTGCTTTCATAACAATTTAGAACAGGCTGGAGAAAGATAACTATCCCTTGAAGACAAAGCTGCATTTTTTTTTAATTTTTTTTTTTTAAGGCAGGTGGTGGTCAGTCGGGGCAGGGGCCGGCTTTTGGGGGCCCCATCATGTAGGCTGTATAGGGCCCCACGATTTCTAACAGTGGCCCTGGTCTCAGGTGTGCCACCCTATTAGATTTCCCAGAAATACTGTTACCGGTAAGTGTAACTGGTACTTTTCAAGCGTTTTGGATCAGAATTGCATGTTTTTGCAGCTTTTGTCATGTGTTTTTCAACTAGAAAGGTTTGGAGTGCTACTGATAAGGGATGGACAGTTGCTGTTTGAGCAGAAAACGTGCAACAAAACACCTGAAAAAAAAAACACATTGATAAAAGCTCATGTCACGCTTTTATGCATTTCCACTGAAGGCTGTTAGATCAAAAATGCTCAATTCTGCTGGAAAAGTAGCTCATGTACTTTTTTTGAGCAACAGGCGTTTTGCTACAAGTGACAGGATGCTCAGATGTGATCAAGAGCTATTGAAAACAATAGGTTTTTGTTTGCGGAACATTTTTGAGCTGCGATCTACAAGCTACAAAATGCTCGAGTGTGAATGGGGCCTAAGCAGCGGTGCAGCTGCCTGGCACGGACCCCAGAAGCTAGCGGTAATTACTGTAAAAGTGGTGCTTACCACAATGATTTCCAGCTTGCATGGATCTTCCTGGTATGACACGTGCATGTTTACATTGTTCCAAGCTGGACAAATGTAACTATGCAAAAATATGTATACTTAAACTTAAGCCTTAATCTCCGGAAATTTTTACAGATTCAATTATGAATGTTGGTAAAACCTTGTTTGTATAAATCATTTTTTTTTTTTTAAATTGCAGTTTATAATGCAGTAAATACACAGTTTTTACATTTATTACGATCAGGACAGGAAAATTGGTTTTTAAACGTGTGTACAGTTAGGTCCATATATATTTGGGCACAGGCACAATTTTAGTTTTTTTCAGATATTGACCAAAACATGTTCAAGCTATAGTTATATAATGCATATGGTCTGAAAGTGCACACTCTCAGGTATAATGTGAGGGTATGTACATCCATATTTGAGGAATTGTTTAGGAATTACAGCTCTTAAGAGTAGCCATCCCCCCTTTTTCAAGGGATCAAAAGTAATTGGACAATTGAATAAAAAGCTGTTTCATGGGCAGGTGTGGGCTACTTCTTCATTATTTCTTTATCAATTAAGCAGGTAAAAGGTCTGGAGTTGATTCTAAGTGTGGTATTTGCATTTGGAATCTATTGTTGTGAACCTACATCATGCATTCAAAGGAACTGTCCATGCAAGTGAAACAGGCCTTTTTAAGGCTTCAAAAATGAAACAAATCCATCAGAGAGATAGCAGCAACATTAGGAGTGGCCAGATCAACAGTTTGGTACAGTCTGAGGAAAGAAGAACGCACTGGTGAGCTCAGCAACATAAAAAGGCATGGACGTCCATGGAAGACAACAGTGGTGGATGGTTGCAGGATCCCCTTTATGGTAAAGAAAAAACCATTCACAACATCCAGACAAGTGGAGGACACTCTCCAGGAGGTGGGCGTATCATTGTCAAAGTCTACAATCAAGAGAAGACTTCATGAGGGCAAATACAGAGGGTTCACCACAAGGTGCAAAACATTCATAAGCCTGAAGAATAGAAAAGTCAGATTAGACTTTGCCAAAAAACATCTAAAAAGCCAGACCAGTTCTGGAAAAGCATTCTTTGGATGGATGAAACTAAGATTAATCTGTACCAGAATGATGGGAAGAAAAAAGTGTGGAGAAAGCTTGGAACAGCTCATGATCCAAAGCACACAACGTCATCTGTAAAACATGGTGGAGGCAGTGTGATGGTATGGGCATGCATGGCTTCCAGTGGCACTGGGTCATTGGTGTTTATTGATGATGTGACAGAAGACAGAAGCAGTCGGATGAATTCTGCAGTGTTTAGAGAGATACTGTCAGCCCAGATTCAGCCAAATGCAGCAAAGTTGATTGGACGCGCTTCACAGTACAGATGGACAATGATCCAAAACACACTGCAAAAGCAACCCAGGAGCTTTTGAAGGAAAAGAAGTGGAATATTCTGCAATGGCCGAGCCAATCACTTGACCTCAACCCAACCGAGCATTCATTTCACTTGCTGAAGGCAAAATAAAGGCAGAAAGACCCACAAACAAAGAACTAAAGAAAGCTGCAGTTAGAGCCTGGCAAAGAATCAAAGAGGAGGAAACCCAGTCTTTGGTAATGTCCATGGGTTCCAGACTTCAGGCAGTCATTGCCAGTAAAGGATTCTCAACAAATGAACATTTTTATTTATGATTAATTTCAAATGTCCAATTATTTTTGGTCCCTTGAAAAAGGGGGGATGGCTACTCTTAAGAGCTGTAATTCCTAAACCCTTCCTCCAATTTGGATGAACATACCCTAAAATTTAAACCTGAGAGTGTGCACTTTCAGCCCATGTCCATTATATAACTATAGCTTGAATATGTTTTGGTCAATACCTGCAAAAACTAAAATTGTGCCTGTGTCCAAATATATATGGACCTAACTGTATTTGTGTCAGGTGAATGTGAATAAATTGCCTATTTATTTTTAATTTCAGCCATTAGGTAGAGCTTTAGGCTGCTTTTCATGTTATGAAATCCTTGATGAAATAAGCACATTTACAGAACTCAATCTCTGGACTTCTGGAGTGTCTGGGCTGCTCTTTATGAAGAGTGTCTTGTCTATGTGCAACAAGTTTCTGTGAATGCCACAGGATTCATGTACCTGTCAAAAACATGTACATGAATTTGTTGCAAATATGCACCAGAATTGGTACCAATTACTTCAACATGCCATTGGTCCTAAATGGCACTTATTCTTAATAAATTTGATGCAGGAATTGTGACATATTTGAAAGTGTCCTCAGTACAGATTGTTTGAATCTGCTGCACATGTTTGAATATGCCACAATGTTGGAACTATCTCCCAAAGGTTAAATGATTTTGGTGCTATCAGATCATGCTTCAAAGCAGCAAGCAGTACTGTTCCTTTAACTCCCATAGTTCTCTGGAAATAGTTTGTCATGTTTTTTTAAATTTTTATTTGTAAAACAATAATAGTAAAAATACATATAAGGACACCGTGTTAGCAAAGTGTAACTAAAGGCAAGCTTTTTTTTTCACACTTCTGAATAGAGCAGAGAAGCATTAAACCCCCTGTCAGGTTTTTTTTTTTTTATTTTGTTTACAAACGATTTTATTTTTCAAGAAAGACTGTAAGATGACATTACAGCCTCAAACTGTGTAAAACAGTAACAAGGCACAACTGAAGTGTACATTTCAAAAAGGTACAATCAGCTAGAGCAGTGGTTCTCAACCTTTCTAATGCCGCGACCCCTTAATACAGTTCCTCATGTTGTGGTGACCCCCAACCATAAAATTATTTTCGTTGCTACTTCATAACTGTAATTTTGCAGTGGGAGGACTAGCGCCCCATCACTGATGTCAGTGGGATGAATAGTGTCCCGTTGGTATCGATGTCAGTGGGATGATCAGTGGGTGGGAGGAATAGTGCCCCATCATTGGTGTGCATCATTGGTGGGGGAGGAATAGTGTCCCATCATTGGTATCAGTGGGAGGAATAGCGCCCCATCATTGGTGTCAGTGGGAGGAATAGTGCCCCATCATTGGTGTCAGTGGGAGGAATAGTGCTCCATCATTGGTGTCAGTGGGAGGAATAGTGCCCAATCATTGGCGTCAGTGGGAGGAATAGTGCCCAATCATTGGCGTCAGTGGGAGGAATAGTGCCCCATCATTGGCGTCAGTGGGAGGAATAGTGTCCCATCATTGGCGTCAGTGGGAGGAATAGTGTCCCATCATTGGTGTCAGTGGGAGGAAGAGTGTCCCATCATTGGTGTCAGTGGGGGGAATAGTGCCCCATCATTGGTATCAGTGGGGGGAATAGTGCCCCATCATTGGTATCAGTGGGGGGAATAGTGCCCCATCATTGGTATCAGTAGGAGGAATAGTGCCCCATCATTGGTATGAGTGGGAGGAATAATGCCCCATCATTAGTATCAGTGGGAGGAATAGTGCCCCATCATTGGTGTCAGTGGGAGGAATAGTGCCCCATCATTGGTATGAGTGGGAGGAATAGTGCCCCATCATTGGTGTCAGTGGGAGGAATAGTGCCCCATCATTGGTGTCAGTGGGAGGAATAGTGCCCCATCATTGGTATGAGTGGGAGGAATAGTGCCCCATCATTGGTATGAGTGGGAGGCATAGTGCCCCATCATTGGTGTCAGTGGGAGGAATAGTGCCCCATCATTGGTGTCAGTGGGAGGAATAGTGCCCCATCATTGGTATCAGTGGGAGGAATAGTGCCCCATCGTTGGCGTTAGTGGGAGGAATAGTGCCCCATCGTTGGTGTCAGTGGGGGGAGGAATAGTGCCCCATCATTGGTATGAGTGGGAGGAATAGTACCCCATCATTGGTGTCAGTGGGGGGAGGAATAGTGCCCCATCGTTGGTGTCAGTGGGGGGAGGAATAGTGCCCCATCGTTGGTGTCAGTGGGGGGAGGAATAGTGCCCCATCGTTGGTGTCAGTGGGGGGAGGAATAGTGCCCCATCGTTGGTGTCAGTGAGGGGAGGAATAGTGCCCCATCGTTGGTGTCAGTGGGGGGAGGAATAGTGCCCATCGTTGGTGTCAGTGGGGGGAGGAATAGTGCCCCATCGTTGGTGTCAGTGGGGGGGAGGAATAGTGCCCCATCGTTGGTGTCAGTGGGGGGAGGAATAGTGCCCCATCGTTGGTATTAGTGACACAAATGATGGGGCACTATCCCTTCCACTGACACCAATGATACTTACCTTGCTGACCCCTGCTCCAGCCTGGGCTCGCTCTCTCCCTCTCCTATCTACAGCCTGCATACCTGGCTGCAGCAGCAAAATTTGCACTTACCTGTCAGCTGTCCTCCTTCTCTGGCCTCTCTCTTCACTCGTTCCTGCAGCTCCCTCGATCTTCTTCGATCTCCGCGCGCTGCCGCTCGGCTCCTCCTCTCCAAGCTCCACCTTCTCGCCGGTGATTGGCCGCCTGTGTGCCTCTCCTGAGCTACAGTTCCGGTGGCCAATCAGCGGCGAGGAGGCGGTGACAGGGGCAGCATATCATCCCGCCCACACACATCGCCGGAGACAGCAGCGGTGTCTCGGTTCCTAAGACCATCGGAAATATGTGTTTTCCGATGGTCTTAGGCGACCCCTGGGAAATGGTCGTTCGACCCCCAAAGGGGTCGCGACCCCCAGGTTGAGAACCGCTGATCTAGAGTAAAGAAAAAGTGAAGAGAAGAGAGAAAAGAGTTTAAGTACATGAGCAATGTAAATAAAGAGGTAGGCAGAGTTATACATCTACCAACAGAATAAGTTAATCAATCCAAATATGGGCGTTCTTTAGTCATGTAGTAAATGTCTGAGTTCTCTTGTCCAGTCAAGTATAATGAATTCTTTCCATGAGCATCACAGCCCCCCTGTCAGGTTTTAATTGCTGTCTGTGCCCCTGTTAGGGAGATTCACCCTCTTTATTTGTCCTGTTTATCATTCTCATCGACAGTGTAAATAAAAGAAAATCCCCTTTTTGGGGTTAACAGAAAAGGAATAGAGGGGAATCCCTTCCAATAGAGACACTAGTTCTTGTGACACCCTGAGATTCCTTCACTTTGTATGGATTTCCTCTTTCTTAGCTTTTGGTTTTTTCTACCCGCTGCAAGGGTAACTGCTTGTTTTATCCAGAGAGAGCTCCAGAATGTAGGTGGCCTTTTGGTGTCTTCCCTTACATGCAGGACAGAAATGAAACCTTTCTCAAAAGAAGTACTGAAATTTTAGCTCTTTTCCTATTGCCTTTTATTGCTGCATCATGGTGGTCTGCCAGCCTTCTAAAGGAAACACACAACAGTTGTTCCTAAGCTGCTAGAACTGAAACCCTACTTTTTAAATATTCTTAGCAATCTTTGAGAATGAATTACTTAACAGCACATGCAGCTAGAGATATCATGGATGGGTAGTTTTAAAGCTTTGTTACGGTTTGTCAGCAATTTGAAAATATTTTACTGTCCATAGCCTTTCAATAGTTGCACTGTAAGATAAATAGCCTTATAAATCTTTCTGCTCTCCAGCCTAACCTAGAGAGCCAAGATCTGGTGCACGCTATAATGAAAAAATTGTTTTTGCTACCAAGTTAAAGAAATTGCAAATGGAAAAAATGTCATGATGTGAAATTACTGCAAAAACATATGTAAAATAGAATATATGTGTTGGGTAGCATTGTAATAAGTTACACATAGTTGATTGATATTGCTTTTTATGTCATTTTAAACAAGGTCTGAGTGCCTAAATCTGGTATAAGAATTTGATAGTTTTTTTGGGAAGAGAGGTTTCTCTTTCATTTAATATGTCTGTCTTTTTGTGGTTCGTCCCTAGCGTGGTTGCGTATTCTGTAATTATGGGCGCTCTGATGGCCAGTGGTAAAGAAGTCACTGGAAAAATTCCAAAAGGAAAGGTATGGCTTTATTTCTCCTCTCTACAAAGATGTCTAGCTTTAATTATTTACCAGCTTTTCCTTTAAAGGTAGTATTTTGTGTGTGTGTGTGTGTGTGTGTGTGTGTGTGTGTGTGTGTGTCCAGTGGATATCAAAAGTCTTCACACCCGTTATAAAATATCAGGTTTCTGTAATGTAAAAAAAAATGAAACAGATTAATAATTTCAGAACTTCAGGAAGTAAAACTAAAATAATATGGTTGCATAAGTGTGCACACCCTTAAACTAATATATTGTTGAAGCACCTTTTGATTTTATTACAGCACTCCGTCTTTTTGGGTATGAGTCTATCAGCAAGGCACATCTTGACTTGGCAATATTTGTCCACTTTTCCTTGCAAAAACAAGATTGCGAGGCATCTCCTGTGCACAGCCCTCTTCAGATCACCCCACAGATTTTCTATCAAATTCACGATTGGGCTCTGGCTGGGCCATTCCAAAACATTCATTTTCTTCTGGTGAAGCCATTCCTTTGTTGATTTGGATGTATGCTTTGGGTCGTTGTCATGCTGAAAGATGAATTTCCCACCCAATTTTGTCCCAATATTTACTGGTATTTGGAACTGTTCATAATTTCCTCTACCTTGACTAAGGCCTCAGTTCCAGCTAAAGAAAAACAGCCCCAAAGCATGATGCTGCCACCACCATGCTTCACTGTGGGTATGGGGTTGTTTTGGTGATATGCAGTGTTGTTTTTGCGCCAAACATATCTTTTGGAATTATGGCCAAAAAGTTCAACCTTTTGGTTTCATCAAACCAGAACACATTTTCCCACATGCTTTTGGTAGACTTCAGATGTGTTTTTTGCAAAATTTAGCCGAGCTTGGATGTTTTTCTTCGTAAAAACAGGCTTCCGTCTTGCCACTCTACCTCATAGCCCAGACATATGAAGAATGCGGGAGATTTTTTGTCACATGTACCACACAGCCAGTACTTTCCAGATATTCCTGCAGCTCTCTTAATGTTGCTGTAGGCCTCTTGGCAGCCTCCCAGACCAGTTTTCTTCTTATCTTCTTATCAACTTTGGAGGGACATCCAGTTCTTGGTAATGTCACTGCTGCTGCGCCATATTTTTTTCCACTTGACGATGACTGTCTTCACTGTGCTCCATGGTATCTCTAATGCCTTGGAAATTCTTTTGTACCCTTCTCCTGACTGATACCTTTTTAACAATGAGATCCCTCTGATGCTTTGAAAGCTTCCTGTGGACCATGGCTTTTGCTGTAGGATGCGACTTAGAAAATGTCAGGAAAGACCTACTAGAACAGCTGAACTTTTATTTGGGGTTAATCGGATGCACTTTAAATGATGGCAGGTGAGTACTGACTTATTTAACATGATTTTGAATGTGATTGCTTAATTCTGAACACAGCTACATCCCCAGTTATACACTTGTGCAACTACATTATTTTAGTTTTTAATGTTTACTTCACTCCCCCTAAAATTATTATTATACAGGATTTATATAGCGCCAACAGTTTGCTCAGCGCTTTACAATATAACGGGAGACAAATACAGCAACAAGACAGTTCAATACAAGAGCTTACAATCTAGGATATTTCAGTTTGTGTTTCAACTGAGTTGCACAGTTTATAGGTCACATTAAATGTGGAAAAAGTTCTGAAATGATTTTTCATTTTTTTACATCACAGAAACCTGACATTCTAACTGGGGTGTGTAGACTTTTTATATTCAGTGTGTGTGTGGTTTTTTTTTTTTTTTTTTTCTTCCTGTCAGCTGAATGCAAAATATTGAATGAGTACTTCCCATCTAGGATTTCTAGGATGAGGTCTAGGGTCTTTTTTTTTCACCAGTTTACTATGATAAACTTGAACCCTCTCAATCAACATTGAAATAAATCAACAAGAAAGAATGACATTTACTTTTTTTTTTTTTTTTTTTTTTTTTTAAGTTTCTTCAGTTACTTACTGATTTCCATGCCTAATCAAATTGTCATACATCCCAGGAGTCTTCAGCTGGGGGGGAGGCAATGCCTGAGCTAAGGTTAGATGGATTCCAGGAAGTAAATGCTACATAAATAATCCAACCTTAGTCAAGATGGCCACTGGCAGAAATGCTGGGGGGAAGGGGGGTGTTTTTCAAAATGATTTCTTTGCAAAATATAGCATGCAGACGTGAATGGATGGGGGAGTTTGCATTGAATATTAAACATTAATTGGATAGCATTTTTGATTTATGGCGCTCAGATATAGTGCAGTTCCACTTTAATTACTTTGCTGAAAAATTGAAAAAACATGTATGCAGAGCTGAAATGGTAAACCTCAGACTGACATTGACAAATCTTGGTGGTCATTTTTCAATCGTCTGTTTTTAATTGTTTGAGTGCTCTTTCATAGATGTTAATCGAGTAATTGCTCCATTCCGCATGCAATCAATTGGGACAGTGTCTTAATGATGTTTTATTTATCCCTTCAGACTCATCTACAGTAACATAAATGGCTTTCTTCTCACTTGTATCATTTTGTTCCCTCTTAAGCTGGTTGATTTTGAAGCAATGACAGCACTTGGACCTGAAGCATTTAGCAAAATAGCAAAAAGCTGGTTGAACCTTACAAGGTAACTGCAAAGACTTCTCTTACACCTTGGTCAGAAACAAGTTGTTAACTGAACAGACTAACCTAGCCAGCACTGCTGTTTAAAAAAAAAAAAGTGATTTGGGGGGCTTTTTAAAATAGTTTTACTTAATTTGAAGAATGATTTGTTGCATTTGTGCAAAAGTCCTCATGCACACTGGCTGTTTTTGGCTTCTGATGTTTTTTTTTTTTTCTACAGCCAGTAAACTCCCCAGCATGTTATCCTATTTGTCCATGCACACACACAGACTGTTATCAACGTTTTTTGGCTGGAAAAAAACCTGAACTAGTGGGTTTCTAGAGGAGTTTTTTAGCTGTAAAAACGCTGAAAAAACGCAGTAAAATGTGCCAAAAAAAGATTTTATTTAATTTAAATTTTTTTGGTTAATAAAAGTCTAAGAACAGCTAAAACGCAAATGCGAAAAAACATCACTAACACGCTAATACAAAAAAGTGCTAAAACCCGCTGAAAAACACCCAGCGTGCATGAAGCCTTAAAAAGGACCATCCTTTCCTATTCCCATTCTGACTTTTCTGCATTGCATACTATACAGTGCTCAGCATAAATGAGTACACCCCCAACAGATTTGTCAGAAAACCTCTACTTTCCTTTCAGAATCAACATTTTCTATGGGACACTATACTACAAAATACTCCCACAAATGCAGGCCATTGATTGCAAACAAGATCTGTTAATTTGCGCACACAAATATTTTTCCTAACAAATTCATTCAAGACAATGTTGCAAAAATGAATACATCCCAATAAGTCTTAGGAGCAAAGCTAAATTTTAGACGTCTTTCAACAAGGGGTGCATGCGCAGCCGGCTCCTGGATGGACGCGCTTTGAGCACCACTCCGTCCACCCGCCAGACACATTGTGGCTCATCCCGACCCCGAGTGTTCTAACTCGCCTCGCTCAGCTGATAAAGGGTGTACAACCCTCGGAAGCCATGCCTCGTGCCACAAAACCCCTGGACAGCCAGGAAAACTGACTCAATTCTTCCCTGCTGTCACAGCAGGGATCCAAGATGGCGCCGGCTGCACGGACACAGGACACAGCAGCTATGAGGGGGACAGCAGATCCCAGCAGCTGGACATCAGACTCCGTTCTCCACTGTACCCTGGGGACCCGGGTGAGTTATTCCCCCCCCCCCCATCCCCCACCACAAGCAACCCAGCCAAATCTAGACCCCGTCTAGATTCAGATTCACTATCTGCCTGTCAGCCTCTCATTCCTCCATCACCTCAGCACATTACAGAACCATCTCTGATAGAATCTTTCCCTGCCTCAGACCAGCCTATCACCGAAATTTGGATGAAGAACATGCTCTTATCCCTACGACAAACACTACAGAACGATATGACAGTATCACTATCCCAGATCTCAAATGTGGTTCAGCAACAAGAACACAGATTACGCCATATTGAAACGAGAATGGGAGATATAATTACAGCCCATAACAATTTAATTGACGCACATGCTGACCATACTTCTGAAATCGAGCAAATAAACCTGAAACTAGCGGATTTAGATCGCTCAAGACGCAACAATATTAAAATTCAGAGGTATCCCTGAAAATATCACGATACACTACTATCATATATCCAACAATACATGGAATACCTCATCCCATCTCTCTCGAATATGGAGCTCGCCATAGATCGAGCACATAGAATACCTAAACCCGCATTCCTATCAGCGTCAATCCCCAGAGATGTTCTGGCTCGCATCCACTTCTACCATATAAAAGAAAAAAATGACAGCAGCCAGAAACCCCCCTCCACTCCCGTCATCATACAAACAGCAGATTATATGCGGATTTGTCAAAGGCCACACTCCTTAACCGCAAATGATGATCAACATTACCAAAGCCTTACGAAACCACGGAATAGGCTATCAATAGGGCTTCCCCACAAATCGGGCACCAGGGCAGAATACATACAATCAAAAACCTAGGGGCAGGCATCGACCTATTGAAGACATGGAAGGTAATACCCGTGGAGCCCCACCAATCCACCTCTACCAATATGCAACAAATGGAGGCAGAGCGAACCTGACTTACTACACTCTATACACTCCAATCATACCACCTCGGACGCTATATCTCAACCTATTGCTCTCTGGCAAACGGCCCCTTACAGAATACTCACATTACGAGACTCTGGCATGACCCATTTCACGGTCAATGCTTGTTCACACCCCCCTGTTTTGAAGTAGCACTCCATGCTACTCATGCCAGTTGCATTTTCCGCAAGTCTTTTTTTTTTTTTTTTATCTATCCCCTTTCACTCCCATCCCCCCCCCGCACCATCAGTCGATCATCCGAACCAACTGTTCACCTGAAACCTACAAAACAATATGGAAAATATCACACGCATCATTGAGTGAACCAATACCACTCTACCAAACTTGTAGAAATTTCCCTTGCACGTCAACACATCAAGAAACAACTCCTCTAGTCCACCAACTCAACCAGCGAATTACAAAATGATTAACATAACCTCACTTAATGTTCGGGGTCTAAACTCCCCCTTTCAGAGATCGATGCTCCAAAAGGAAGCCCATACACTCCATGCTGATATACTCTTCATACAAGAAACACATTTTGCAACCACCATGACCCCTAAACTACAACTGCACCGCTTCTCCCATATTTAGATGGCCACTAACTCTAAGAAGAAAAATGGGGTTATTACAGCCATAAAAGACTCTATGCAATTCCACCACATCTCATAAATAGCAGACCATATCTTAATCTGCAAAGTTAATGATATACCCTAGTAAACGTTTATGGACCCAACAACAACCAAATGCAATTCTACCACAAACTCTTCTCACCATCTCTTCTCACAAACAAGGCAGACTTCTCACTGGCGGAGACTTCAACGTCATCGGCAACCCACTCCTGGACTCCTCCACCAACAAACGCTCCCCCAAACATAACTTTAATCGTTTCTTACATGACCATGATCTCTGACGTCTGGAGATGCCATCACAGCACCGAAAGAGACTACACCTACTACTCCCCATCTCACCTATCCTACTCCAGAATCGACTTCTTTGTTACAGACAAATGGACCCTACAACATGTAACGTCATCCAAAATTGGCACCATAACCTGGTCAGACCACGCTCCAATCAACATAACTCTAGACGACAATCAACATTCTTCAATCCCCCGCATCTGGAGACTGAATTCCTCAATATTGAGGAACCCAGATAACCAAAAACACTTGATAGAAGCTCACAACATATTTTTGAATTTAACGCCACACCTGATACCTCTATAACCACATTATGGTCTACTTACAAAACATACATGAGAGGTATCCTCATACAACTAAATTCTCGCATCAATAAACAAAACCCAACAAATTGACCAACTTCTAACATCCATAAAACTAAAAGAAGAAATCAATGAAAAAAAACCAAACCCCTCCATACACGAATCCCTAGCCTCAGACAGAAACAAACTCCGAACCCTTCTACTGTACAAATATGACCTTAACCTACAAAAAATTATATAGCACAATTTTACTCCCTAGGCAATAAGGCAAATTCATTATTAACGAAATTAAACGACACCTCAAATCCAAAATATCCTTAATTCAACACCCAACAACACATACATCTCTCACAAACCCGCAAGACATAGCCACCGCTTTCGCAACATTCTACCAAACACTATACAATATCAAAGATGACCTGGATACAACCCAACCCACAACAATATCCATAAATATTAAACAAAATACTAATTAACAAGAATTCAACTAAAGGTGAATCTAATTATTCATTTAACAGGTGTCCAGCAGACAGTTGATTATAAAAGGGCATTACTTAACAAAGAAATCACCTTCCCATTTCATGCTGTCAGCAATGGCACCACATGGAAGAGAAATGTCACAAGGCCTGAGAAAGAAAATAATTTCTTTACACAAGAAAGGTGAAGGCTACAAGATGATCAGCAAAGCATTACTTATCAGTCAGAATACTGTAGCAAAGTTTAACAAAACATTTTAAAAGTGATTAAAAAAAAGTAACAAAGATGGAACCGCAACCATCTCAGAGATGTCCAGGCTGTCCACGGAAATTAACATCTGAACAAGAGCGTCCTCTGATGAGAAGGGTTGAAGAAAATTGCCATGCAAGTTAACTGCAGTTGGCTAAAGAAGTAGAAAGCCAAACTGGGGTGATTGTTTCCTGTAACACAATGCAGTGTACACTGCAGAGGAATGGCATGCATGGTTGTCTTCCAATAAGCAGGCCTCTCCTAAAGCCCATGCACAAAACGTGCCTAGAATTTGCCAGGGCCCATGCTGAAAAAGAAGACGACTACTGGGACTTTGTACTCTGGAGTGATGAGGCCAAGATAAATGTTTGTGGATCTGATGGCTTCCAAACTGTATGGCGCCGCAAAGGTGAGGATTACAAAGAAAAATGCATGGTGATGGCAGTGTCCTTCTGTGGGTCTGCATGATTGCTGCTGGCTACTAGGAGCTGCATTTCATTGGTGCATCATGAATTCACAGATTATTCTGCTCTATATTGAAAGATAAGATGCTACCATCACTCTGTGCCCTTGGTTGTCGTGTGAAAGTGATTCATTGGCCAAGTATGTATCCTGTTCTGAACCCAATCCAACACCTATGGGGAATTCTGAAGAGCCAAGTTGAGCATCATTCTCCATCCAGCATCCAAGCTCTAACAGAGGTCATTCTTGAAGACGGGAAAAAGATAGAGGTTGCAATATGTCACCAACTTGTTAATTACATGCCTAGAAGACTTGGTGCTGTCCTTATAAATCATGGAGGTCATACAAAATACTAGATGTAGTAGTCTTTTGTTGTGGGGCGTCTTCATTTTTGCATCAACTAATTTGAGTAAAAGTGAAGATTTTGTCATCCAAGTTATATTATTAAACTTTCATGTAATGATCTAAACAAATGTTCTATAAAACTCAGTTATGTCAACATTTTGGAAATTGTTCTTGTGTTCATTAAGATATTGATTAAAATCTTATTTTCAAAAGGGGTGTACTCATTAATGTTGAGCAGTGTATATGGCCATATCTGACACATTTTTATCAGCAGCTGGTGACTGATCAGAGTAACGTTTTTTCGACTGGTAATATAGGTTGAAGATGTTTTTTATCTGCAGTGTAAAGGGATAATGTCACATCAAATAATTATTGTTGCTGTTCAGTCATAGAGAATGATTGCTATTTTTTTTTTATAGCAATTGCGTTTTATGTTTTTCATACAAATTGCATAATTTTTCTGTCTTGCTAGTTCTTACACTTTGCTTCATTCACCAGTATTTTAGGAACATGCATGTACTATGATTTGCAATAATGAGGAAAGCTGGTACAGTATATGACAACTGCCATATTCAGATATTGGGCTCAGTTCACAAAGCAGTATTTTCCTCTTTACAAATTGAGGTACAATAGCTTGTAGTGTTTTTTAAACATTCATCCCTTCTCCACTATATCCATTCCGCTGGATATTGCATGAGATAAAATTAGATAAATACTGCAAATTTATATGAAATGCTACATGCCCTAATTTATTTATTTTTTGTCATATTGATTTGAAATTTTTCAGTTTACAGAAAATGTAACTATAAACTCAACAGAAAATTTAAAAGAAACATACAAATCAACAGCCTCGACCTTTTAAATTGAGGCAATGCCAGTCATATAGCAAGAACCAGCCGTACACAAAATATAAATATTTCTATGACCAGTTAAGTGCAATCCTCATACACGGTAATATCTCAAAGACACAATGTACCCTACTCTCTCCGCATGCCTTATTTTAGTAAGGTTTTTTTCTTTTTTCTTTTTTTTTTTTTTTTTTTTTTTTTTTTTTTTTGTTTCTGATATGGTTTCGCGGTTGTGCCAGGTGGTATTGCTGTTGTGTGTGGGTTTTCGTCTGAGTCCAAAAAATTTTTTAAAAACCATAAGTGCTTATATTACTTCAAATTTTAAAGAGTAAAATAACATGTGAATTGAGCCTGTGTCCTGGAGAGATTTTAACCCTGCTTTGATTGTTAAAGACACAACATTAAAAGGTAACTTTTGGACAAAAATTCCTTTCTGCTCCTGTTACAGTAAGTTACAGTTGGGTACATATATATTTGGACACAGGAAAAACTGAATTGCAGACTTTCAGCTTTAATTTAAGGGGTTGAGCATAAATATCAAGTACAAATTTTAGGAACTGCAACCATTTTTATACACAGTCCCTCCATTTTCAGGGGCACAAATATAATTGGACAAATGAATATAATCATAAATAAAATGTTCATTTTTTATATTTTGTTGAGAATCCTTTACTGGCAATGACTGCCTGAAGTTTGGAACCCATGAACATTACCAAAAGACTGTTTCCTCCTTTCTGATGCTTTGCCTGGCTCTAACTGCAGCTGTGTTCAGTTGTTCTTTGTTTTTGGGTCTTTCTGCCTTTTTAATTTTGCCTTCCGCAAGTGAAATGTATGCTCAATTGGGTTGAGATTAGGTGATTGACTCAGCCATTGCACAATATTCCACTTCTTTTCCTTCAAAAGCTCCTGGGTTGTTTTTGCAGTGTTTTGGATCATTGTCCATCTGTACTGTGAAGCGCCGTCCAATCAACTTTGCTGCATTTGGCTGAATCTAGGCTGACCGTATATCTCTAAACACTGCAGAATTAATCCGTCTGCTTCTGTCACGTCATCAATAAACACCAACGACCCAGTGCCACTGGAAGCCATGCTTGCCATCACACTGCCTCCACCATTTTTTCAAACTATTTTATTTTTTTTGTTTTTATGAAATAGGCGGCAAAAACATTACAGCATCAAGTAAAATATAAAACGTAAACAAAGCACATCTGTATTATGTATTCCAAAAGGGTACAGTCATGTGCCTCCACCATGTTTTACAGATGACGTTGTGTGCTTTGGATCATGAGCTGTTCCAAGTCTTCACACTTTTTTCTTCCTGTCATTCTGGTACAGATTAATCTTAGTTGCATCCGTCCAATGAATGCTTTGCCAAAAAAACATCTAAAAAAGGCCAGACCAGTTCTGGAAAAGTCTGATCTGGCTTTGCTATTCTTCAGGCTTATGAATGGTTTGCACCTTGTGGTAAACCCTCTGTATTTGCTCTCGTAAAGTCTTCTCTTGATTGTAGACTTTGACAATGATACGCCCACCTCCTGGAAAGTTTCCTTCACTTATCTGGATGCTGTGAATGGGTTTTTTTTTTTTTGCCATAGATAGGATCCTGCGATCATCCACCACTGTTGTCTTCCATGGACATCCATATCTTTTTGTGTTGCTGAGCTCACCAATGCGTTCTTTCCTTAGAATGTACCAAACTGTTGATCTGGCCACTCCTAATGTTGCTGCTATTTCTCTGATGGATTTGTTTCATTTTTGAAGCCTTACAATGACCTGTTTCACTTGCATGGACAGCTCCTTTGAATGCATGATGTAGGTTCACAGCGATAGATTCCAAATGCAAATACCACACTTTTTATTAACTCCAGACCTTTTACCAGCGTAATTGATGAAGAAATAATGGAGTAGCCCACACCTGGCCATGAAACCGCTTTTGATTCAATTGTCCAATTACTTTTGGTCTCTTGAAAAAGGTGGGAGGACTATTCTTAAGAGCTGTAATTCCTAAACCCTTCCTTCAATTTGGATGTACCCTCAAATTAAACCTGAAAGTGTGCGCTTTCAGCCCATATCCATTATATAACTAATTATATAACTATAGCTTGAAAATGGTTTGGTAAATACCAAAAAAAAAAGCCTGTGTCCAAATATATATGGACCTAACTGTATATAGTTCCTTAATTTTCTGTCCTGTTAACTATGGAGAAAGTGAAAATTGATCTCCAAAACCAGGGATAAAGACAACCATTTAAAAAAACCCTGATACATGCTGGTGATTTGGACAAGATGGAGGTGACTGCATATGTTCTGGTCATGTCCTTGATTGTCCACATTTTTGGCAGAAGAACTGCAGATATCACAAAAATTCTCAGGTTATACTACACTGACTGACTGGTGTTTTTCTAACTTCACCATAATGCCATCTGAAAGAAGGTTTACAAGAAATATGTTATCCTGCATTTACTTGATGCCGTTCACAGTTGCATTTAATTGGTGGAAGCAGGCCCTCAGTAGCACTGTCATTTTTTCTAATATAAGCAAAATCAAGTGCATGGAAGACTTCATATCCACTGGCCGGGGTATGTATGAAAAGTTTTGATAGATGTGGTTTAACTGGATTGGGTTTTCCGTCATTCAGGGTAGTCCTTCATACAGGGGCTATGTGTGCGGAGTGATGGCCTAGTTTGGCGGAGAGGCCCTGCCTTCACTTATCTTTGCATTTCTCCTAATTCTCTTTTGTTGCCCCATGTAGACCAACTTATTTTTTAATCTTTCTCTTACACTACTTCTTTAGTTATAATATGAAAACCCATACACTGGTGAGTGGTTGCTACCCTTCTGTGCAGCAAGGTATATGTCAGTACAATGTTTTGTTATATGCTCTGGAACTGCTCTAACATTACAGTAAAACAGTATCCACCCTTAATCTAAGTCAATGTATACTCGCACTGTGATGTGCAGTTTTCACTGTTCCGATTTGTACCTGAATGCTAAATGTCATGCTTTCACATCTATTGAATTATATCAAAAGTGTACGATGGCTTGTTATTAATAATGAATTAAACCTTAAAAAAAAAAAACTGACATTCGAATCCTTTCCCCCTCTACCAAGATTAAATGAAATACATTTTTTGGCTAGAGTCATGATTTCTTTACAAGTGCCTATCATTTGCATTTCATGGAAAATGTTTCTTAATGTTTTTAAAATATTTGACTAGGGTCCTATTTCCTGTAGATGGTATACTACTAGGGTTATAAAATGGCTGCCTTCAGTCATCCTACACAAGATGCAAAAAATGTGTGCATGACAGGATCCGCATATTTCCCTCTGACTTTTGCACTAGAGCATTCATAAACAGCTATTTTTTCATTTAACTAATGAAAAAAATGATTACCGTATTTTTCGCTTCATAAAACGCAATTTTTTCCCCCCAAAAAAGGGGGGGAAATGTCAGTGCGTCATATGGAGCGGCCGGTCCGGTATTTCCACCGCCGCCGTGTCAGAATACCGGGCCGGACGCTCTTACTTCCCGGAGTTCTTTGACCTTACCTGTTCCTCTATCCAGCGGCGCGCTGTCTTCCCGGCTTCTGTAGTGTGGGCGCTGGGCTTGACAGCCGGGTGCCAAGTGCGCATGCGCAAGAAGCGGTGCTTTTTGTGAATGGTAAGGCGGTACCTGGGACACATGATAGATCCCAGAAGCCGCTGGACCAATCACAAAGCGCAAGTGCTTCTCGCTCATGCGCACTGGCACCCGGCTGTCATGCCGAGCGCCCACACTACAGAAGGCGGGAAGACAGCACGCGGCTGGAGAGAGGAACAGGTAAGATCAAAGAACAACTCCGTGGAAGTAAGAGCGGGTACCTGTCAAATTCAGGTACCCGCTCCCCCCCCCTCCCCAAAGGTCAGCAGTCCTCTCCTGTGCTGTCCGCAGTCTCTGGTCATCCCTGTGCTGTCCGCAGTCTCTGGTCATCCCTGTGCTGTCCGCAGTCTCTGGTCATCCCTGTGCTGTCCGCAGTCTCTGGTCATCCCTGTGCTGTCCGCAGTCTCTGGTCATCTCCTGTACTATGTCTGCAGTCCATTAGTTCAGAATTTTTTTTCCTGTTTTCTGCCTCTAAAACCTAGGTGCGTCTTATGGTCAGGTGTGTCTTATGGAGCAAAAAATACGGTACCTTAAAAAAAGAGTATTTCTAACACTTATATTTGTTTCCTTAGCCTGACTCCATCATTCAAAAAAACCTCCCATCTGTGTCCGAATCGTTTCCTACACTGAGAGCAATGATTGAAGTTTTGAACACCGACTCATCCCTCAGTTGCATCAAGAAGTCATGATGGCTTAATTTATACAGCTAACAGGCAGGGACATTATGCTGATTAATTTATTTTTATTTTTTTATCAATGTGCCATTGTGAACAATTTGGGTATTTTGCCACTTTTGATACCTTTTCTTTTTATAAAGCTATAACGTTAAACTTGAACTGGTATTTCTGCCACTGAACATGAAATGTAGCAGCCTGAACAAACCAAAATGTCTGACTATAATGTGAAGTCAACAACAAACTACTGACACTTGGAAAAATTGCATGCTGGAAATTATTTAATTTCTTTAAATCATATTTTTTTAATCTAATTTTTAAAGCTGAACTCCAGGAAAACATTTAAATACACAGTTTATACATTTACCGTATGTGCTGTTTTAGTTGCCTAGAGAACGCATAATTCTGTCTATCCAGTCATCTATGCCAGGCAACCAAAACCACAGAAAGCAGAGCCAGGTTGGTGACCACACTTTCTCTTCTGCAATTAAGAATTACAGCTTGGTCACAGGCCCACCCCATCCTGCAGAAAGAAAAATAGAGGTATCATACTTTGAGGTTATAACACTTTTTGTCTGCTGACCTTTTACGGTTAGAAATAAAACTTTTTTTTTTTTAATGCCAGTTTTATATTCAATAATTTTGTTTAACTTGGCAGCGCTGTTAATCTACCAGGAGCTCAGCTTTAACGCAATTGTCAATTTTTTTTATTTAATTTATAATAGGTTGATTTTCTTTGGGTAACAATTTTGTTTATGCAATCAAAAATGGGTGCAAAGTTTTAAAAGTCTTAAAATTTTTCCTGATAATTGTTTAAGTTTTGATACGTTTGGTTGTGAAGGCATTATTGTTTGTTCTGTTTTTAAATTAAAACCTAAATAAAAGTTGCTATGTAAAAATAAATTTAACTGAGACATCATGGAATTCAATTATCAACTTTGTCGCACACCAAAGGCAGTGCAAAACAGAAACAGCAGTACAATTTGATATTCATTTTGTAAGATTTCAGCTTGAATTTAGAATTCATATGGTTCTTCAATAGTAACACTTAACCACTTTAAAACATACCCCTGATCACTTTGTAGACCTATGTGTTTTAGGTGAAAAGCGGTCATCCATATATTAAAAGGTTTGGTGTGAATACTTACAAACAGTTGCAGTTAGTTGCCCAGGGTGAGGGTCACAAAAACCCAACCTCCCAAAAAATCTAAGTTTTTGTATGAAAGGAGAGACGGTCTGATTCATGAGAGATAACCTAAAAATTCGGAACAATCAAGATATGGAAAACAAAAGCTGTACGTAAAATTATCAGGCAGATTCATAAGATCGCAATTTGATTAATTAGCTCTACTGCAGTTTAACCCTTTTGTGCTAAGAGGGCATAAAAGCTGAGATGCCCAGGTAAAATTTAGCAGTATCAGCATGACCATTTCAACTAATTTACCCATCTAAATCGTTTTTACACCATTTTTTCAAAACCTCAGCAACTACCTTGGTGCTCCACATGAAAATATCAATGTAGAATTATTTAACTTGAACTTTTTTTTAATTTATCTCCTAATACTATAATTGTATCAGGCACTTATATTATAAAACAGAGAAACACTGCCATCCACTACCTGCAGTTGCCTCTGCAACTTGACACATAGCTGAGAGAGAGATCACATTATCATTTGTGGGAACTGAAGCTGTTAGTGACAGCTGTGTTCCGAAGCTAGAAGTTGACATTTATTAACATCACCACAGGGCAATATGCTGGGGAATGTTAATATGCAGATTGCAGTAAGGAAAGAGTTAGTGTTACTAAACCCAGGACCCTGAATTTACTATATCTGGTCTCCCGCAGTACACAGAACATGGAAATGCAATTATTTTAGTAAATATAAACTGCTAAATACCTTTTCCCATCAGCAGTATATAGCAGTCTTGTGACTTTTATCAGTATCTAGCAGAACACTGGTTAAAGCTTGTAAGAGGCATTTTCAGCGTTTTTTCATTATCCCTTGATTGTCCTATGAGGCTGCAGGACTCCTGACCCTCTGTCTGGACTGTGCTGATTAGCCCTGTGGTGATCACATGCACTCTCCCAAAAAAGAAAACAAACTCTCCAGCAATACACACCAACCTGAGCATATGCAGCTTGCCCCCAAGGCTCTGTTCTATCAGCAGATTGGGGACAGTAGAAGGGGAGAACCAGAGAAGATGGGACCAAACATGCTTTCAGAGGATTAACCCCTTAGGTTCCACAGTGAGTATATGCATATACAGATCAATATAAACCAATCTTTGACCAGTGTTTTTTTTTTTAATCTGATAATTTTTATTAGAAACAAACCGTTTCCATACAGATTTGAACTTTTTTTTTTCTTTACATCTCACAAAAAAAAGAGAACCATACAAGAACAATAGAGAAATAAAACATTTTAAATTGGTGTCAACACATGTGAAGGTTCGTCACGCAGGACGACCTGTGCAATACAACAATATGTGAAAAAAAAGGGAAAAAAAAACTTTTACTAATCCGCCTGCCCCTTTGCCACCAAAACAACCACTGACCTCCAACCCTAAATTATACGATAGAGGGGGGACAAATTAAAAAGTCAGTTATACTGTAAAGGATAGACTAGCCACGACACACATCAGTTCTCAGAGGCTTAGTCTGATACTCTTAGGGTGAGCAACTGAGTCTCCATCTATACCAGCAGGAATTGAATATTGAGTCATCATCCCCCAGTAGACAGGGCACCAATATGTAAACTGCTCAAATGAATAATCATAGTACCATCAGATCTGAGGGAAAGCCCCCACTCAATCTCTTTGACCAGGTGAAACAGTGCTAGGCCCAGCGTATTCAGCCAAGCTTCCCAATTTTTTATAAACTTACCTGCACAACTCCCGATGTGACATGTCATTGACTGCATTGACCCAGCCTGATCTAGAGGGCAGGTTTGGAGATGGCCAATTTTGAGCTATGAGTTTCCTAGCCATAAATAGGAAGCGAAGAATAGCAGTATACATATGATTATCAAAATTCTCCTCGTCCAACCATCCCAACAAACACAGCTTTGGGTCCATAGGTAAGGCGAGAGAGTAAATGTTGTTAATCATTTGCATTATAGAGGACCAGTAATGTACCAATTTGGGACCTTTCCAGAGCATATGTAGCAGGGTACCATTCTCAACTGCACAACGTGGGCACGGGAATGTCTCTCCTAAGCCAATCAAATAATTTCTATGGTGTACAGTATGTACGATGAATTATGAAAAGCTGAGTGAGTTTCTGAGACGAGGATAAGGATACTGAAGTGACATTTGATAGTATCATGGCCCATTCATCCTCTGAAATATAATCGAGATCTCTGGACCATTGCGCTCTACAATACGGAGAGAAAGCCTTAGAAATCCGTTGCAACAATGCTCCATATAAATGGGATATCTGGCCCCTCCTGGATGAAGAGAGCACCAACTGATCCAATAGAGTGGGAGTTACCAATATCCATAGGGAGATTTTGGCCAGTGCTAGGATAGCATGACGAAGTTCTATATATTGAAAAAAAAAAAACAGTTGGGCAGCCCAAACCCCTCCCTCAACATTTTAAAATCTTTAAGAAGTTGCCCATTGTACAATTGGGATATATATTTAATGTCCAGCGATGACCATCGGGTGAACCACTTCAGCTTTAGTTCTGGGTAGTTATAATTATTACATATACGTGTAAAGGTAAAAAACCCTTGGTACTGAAAGTATTGTTTCACCCTACGCCATATCTTATCCATTAAACCAAGAGTGAGGAGTTGTGATAAATTTAGGTTCACCTGCTTCCAGACTTTCCACCATGTCCTCTGCAGATCCTACATTTAGGAGAAGTGATTTCACTGGGTCAGAATATTTAACATCTCACCAGGCTGAAAAGTGTTGTAATTGAGCTGTGATATAATACAAGAGGGGGTTGGGCACTGCTATGCCACCCAGATCTCTGGACTCCCGTAGGGTTTCCAATTTAATACGTGGAGAGTGGTTTTGCCAAATCAAAGCGAAATACGGTATCAAATTTCTTGAAAACACCCAGGGGAATCCAGATAGGGGTGTTGTGAAGAATGTAAAGTAGTTACGGAGCCAAAATAATTTTAATCAAGTTGCACCATCCCACAACAAAGAGGGGGAGTTTAATGCAGCTGTTTGTTTTCTGTTGGAATCATTGAAGTGGGAGTAAGTTCAATGCAATATAATTAGAGTAGGATGGATAACTATCCCTAGTTTTTCAAAGGAGCGAACTTGTTCAATTTGTGCCGCTATCTAAGGAATTGTACAAGTGGGGGCGTCCAACAAGAGAAGGGTAGATTTGTCCTAATTTATAGAAAAACCGGAGAAGGATCCAAAGTCAGAAATTAAGGTCATTAGAAGTACCAATGAGGATGAGGTGTCCCCAAGAATAGGAGAGTGTCGTCAGCATACAACGCCACCTTCTCTACCAGATCTCCCCTACGAAATCCTACAATCTCAGGATCTGATGGATGCAGCAAGGGGTTCTATGAAGACAACCCGAATATGGACAGTGGGGGCACGATAAAATAGTTTGATCCATAAAATAAACGGTTTTCCTACATTAAATTTAGCAAGAACAGTTCAAAGATAGTTCCATTCAACACTGTTGAACGCTTTAGCCACGTCCAAAGAGAGAATCGCCCTGTCCCCCATATTTTCCGTTGGAATTTGGAGATTTAAATATAACAGGCCAAGATTTAGTGCCATAGACCTATTTGAAACCCGATTTTTGATCAGGGTGGATAAGCTTGAAGATGACTTTGGTCAATCTTGTTGCTAATACCTTTTAGTGATAATTTTGAAATCGTAAGTTAACAAGGAAATTGGTCGGCATGATTCCGCTAATGTTGGATCCTTCCTGGCTTTAAAAGTACAACTACAATAGCTTCATACATCAAGGGGGGCAGAGATTTCTGTTGCAAAGCTATTTGGATTAATTTAAGTAATTCTGGCAATATGTTGCCAAAGG